GCACACCCACCCCGAGCAGCCAGAGTAGGCCCGAGCACAACAGGGACAAGTGGGACGTTATCAGTAACCCCCACAGGGGTGGCGACCACCTTGCCTGGATTGGCGCAGTGGGCGGAGGAGTCATGTAAATACCCCTCCGTGTTTGCGGGAACAGACTGGCTCAGGCTCAGTAAATAGACTCAGGGGGAAAAATGTCAAACTGAGAAAGCCACCTGCGTGAGATGCACACATATTGACTTTCAAAGTAAAATCAAGAGACATTAATTAGAATTGCTTGATTCTGCTGCACCTGAAGCTACAGTGGAACACGTCATATGCAATCAGACCCGACTTTCAAATCGCAAATCAGCTCTCGAATCATGTAGATTTAACTTTAGAGGTCATACCAGGTCAAGAATACTTGCTGTACTATTGTAGTGTGTATGTTCATGTGGAAATATAATCCCCCTGCCCCCACCCCTAAAAACAATGCATACAGCAGACCTTCACTTTAGGCATCTACAGAATATATTGTGCAGTAGATGTTTGCAGGTTTGGTTTTGCTTTCTGTTTGGACGTCAAAGACGAGGGAGTGTGGGTGTGTGTGTATGTCTGTGTGTGTCGTTTAGAGGTTTAGATCGACTCATGAAGCAAACCCTTTCAAGCTTTAAATAGTTCACAGAAGAGCGCATGACTGTAAATAATGCTGTCAGGGCAAATCCTGGTTCTTCGTGTCCCTCTGACCTCATTTGGTCACAAACCACTAATCTACTTGTGTTGCTGCCCCTCTCCCCTATTTCTTGTGTAGCACTGACTTTCACATGGAGGTACACACACCCCTTTTTGGCATAGATTTGGTACGTTGTCTCTCAGTTTTAAGAGCCGTTGGCATATCTCATCCACACCGACATTTAAACACTTAGCAGTGTACATAACCTATGACAATGTAAATGTTTTAAATATAGTAAATGTACAGACATATTTTATATACGTACGCGACATTGCCATATTTTTATTGGCCGACCAGAAATGGAGAGTAGAGGTTTGACTGCAGTTAAAAAGGCACAGCCGAAAGGTTTTTTTCTTCCCCCCCTCTTCTCTTTCTACATTTCCACCACTGTGGCAGGTTTGGGGCTTTTACTGTTCGACGTATGTGCAATCTTAATCCCTAAAACATTATTTTAAACCCCGTAAATGTTACATTTTCATCTTTTCTCTCTATCCGAAAAAGCAGCAGTCAACCTGCGAGCTTTTGTGTTGCCACAGATAAAATAATACTGGATCAATCTAATCGCATCAAATGGCTTCAAACTAGCTGAAACTCTAAGACTACGTATTGTGATCAGCTCTAATTATATGTGGTTTTGAGAGCAATCAAGCAGTTCTTAAGGGTTCCCTCTTCTCTCGTGTACTGTACAGTAGTTAAGGTACTGCCTCATCACGTGTCCCACACCTCTGTCTCTTGTTTACATGTAAACGCTGGCTGTAAATATCACTGTATTCCTTCCATTGTCTGTGTGCATCCTCAGAAATAATCTCCTTTGCACCTTCTAACATGAGACATCTATATCTGTTTGTTTGTTTGTTTTTTTATTCCTGCTGATGTTTTCACAAGCTGCATGATATTCTTGCTAGGTCTGCTCAGCTTCTGAACAGAGTTATTTTTGTCTTTATTTGAGATTTTAAAAAAAAATTAGAAAAGAAAGACAAAAAGTGTAAACAGAGTAAGCCGGGGTTTTAAAAAAAGGAAAAAACAAAAACACAGCATCCCTCTCTCTCTTTTTGTTTTTAATAGCTATATACCCACCAAAATCTTTTTGTACACATTTGAGTACTTTTATTTGCACTATATAACCAAGTGGCTATTTAAAGCCACGTTTGTTAATTTTTTTCTCTTGGGCTACTTGTGATAAGGAAATAATGTCAGTTCAGGTTGAAATATGAATGCAAGACACTGATAGAGCCTTTTAACTATAAAAAATGGGATCCGGGAAATTCATCCTCTCGATAGCAAACTGTACCGTGTTTGGACCGTGCTTCTGATTTATTATGAATATGCATTTACACGGTTAAACTTTTAAATACTGTTTTTTGGCAGCAGATTCGTCAACCCCTCCTCTCATATATCTGAGGTAATATTGCTAATAGTTACGTTTCAGCACCACTTTTTCTACCTAAATAAACCTAAAGTTTCCAAGCTTATGCTACCGTGAGGATGAGATGTCCCGGCTCTGCCTGCTGCCTACAGACCAGTACTTTGCGAATGATGTTCTGTGTTGTTTCTGACTGCTTGTTCCATGTATGACGCCCACAGAGGATGCAACCACTGCTGGTCTTTCTGACAATAGAGCACTTCCTCACCTTTTCATTGTACTCTTTTTGGCTCAGGGCCGTAATATTCTGGAGCTTTTTCTTGATTCAGTTAATCCAGCAGCTTTGCAGAAAACCGCTCCTCAGCACGGACACTGAGAAAACATGTAAACTATGTCAGTATGTACGCTTGTAACACAAATGCGCTTCTGTAAAGTGAGCTCCTCCCAGTTTATGTGTTCGTCCGTGGGCACATTTTCTTTCTCCATCCCTGTCTGAGCCATGTTGAGCATGTTAGGCGTGTCTGTGAGGAAGTGTTGATGATCGCCGAGAATGTCGCCGCAGCACTTCTTTGCAAAGGATCGTTACCTCTGAACAATGCTGTGCCTTTGTTGTAAGCTAGCCTTGCCAACGATTTGAAAACATGAACTGATTTCCCTTTTTTTAATGTATCATAAGTGCAAGCCTGATTCAAGTGGGTTGATTATCGTTGCTGAAACCACGTTGTATGAGATTTCATCTTGTTCTGTAACGTATTTATATTTTCCAGATCTCCATTGTTAGTTTTGATATTTTGATATTTCTTTTTTGTCTTATTTAATTTTTTTCTTTCTTTTTTTTTTTTACACAAGCTGTGAAAACAATTCTGCACTTTAATCCTGAACGTTTAGACTCTGAGGAGGCAACTTTTTTTTTTCCATTTTGTCACAGCTACAAATAAAACTGTTGCTTCTTAAAATAAACCAGGTGTCTGTTCTTCTTAAACAATACTATGCAACAGTCTGGAGGCAGCCTTTGTTTCTTTATATGTTGCGAAGAAAATGGGAAATGTTTGCAGCAGCTTAATGAAATATGCAGACATGCATAGAAATACTGTTTATAAGGCAACAACAGAGATCCAAGCTTGAAAGTCAATATTTGTCTTGACCACATTTATTCTCCAACACGGCATGAACAGGCAGCTTTCTTGTGTCACTTAAGGCTTTTGTGCAGTATTATATCTATATTCACTCTGCGATTAACCTCCTTCCACTACTGAAGCACCAGTGAGCTCTAAATATGGTTGTTCTGATGACATGTGCTTATCTCAGAGAGCAGTATCAGCACTAGCTGCAGAGAAACTGTGTGGGCAACATTAAAGTGATAAAAATAGTGCTTGTTTCAACTTGGGATGATGGAGGGAGTGAGTATTTTAAAAAAGTGTTTACAAAGCAACCACCAGATGTCACCATCTGTCTCTTATTATATCCGCTCATCATTTAGATTCATTTACAGTTAGCAGTATACACCTGTCACTACTACAGTTAAAAACAATAAACAAACACAGCATGAGTGGAAGACATGTTCACAGCTTTTTCTTAAATTAAAGCGCACAGTTTAAAGATAACTTTATTAAATCAGAAACAGTCCAGCTAAAAGCAAATATACTCTTGTAGTGCTGCTGAAGTCTTATTATTTAAGCATGAATTTCAGTGTTGAGTTGTGGAGGTGCAGTTTTCAGATTCTAAAATGAGAGTATGTAAGTAAGAAATTAGTGAGAAATGCAGTTATCACAGCTTCAACGAGGTGTCACCCTCAAGTGTGTTGCTTTGTCACATCAACACTTTGCACAGATCTTCAGCTGACTCCAATCTGAGACGATACAAACTGCAGATCTTCATGTCTGGGAACCATGAAAGAGTTGAAGTTGTATCCTGCTTTATTCCCTTACTTGGAGTCACGGTTTTCATTTTTAATTATAAAGAGAAGATTCACAGTCAGATTCTTAAGTGGTCTAACGGGCAGATGAGTGTACATCAAACAGTTGCAAGGGTTGGATGTGCAGAACAAAGTTTAAAAACAGCTTTACTCCAGCAGCCATCACTCAGATGAACAAATTGTAGCCTTGTTACTTTGTGGGTTACTGAATGCTCAAAATGATTTAGTTCTTTTTTTCAGTCTTTTTGTACTATGCTTATCTGTTGTCTGCTGTGTGTTGAAACTATGCATGTGAGGATTGATGACTCAGGATTACAGAACAAATCTACCTATGGATACAAATAAAGTAACCTGAACCTGTTTATACATCAAAATCAATTAATTACAGATTGGCACTAACTAATAAATACACATGTATAAGCTCAAATTTTAGGCTTGTCAGACGAATGTTTCAGCCTAAGCTGGCAAAGCATCTTATGGGTGGAAACAGCATCTAGCTACTGAAAATAATAATATTTAAAATAAGTAAATTTCCCCCCAAAAAATTTAAGTGCAATATTTTGGTGAACATCTTGAATCAAAGCCAGATGTATACACTTCAATCACATCATGTCAAATATTTTGCGAAACTGAACAACGTCACCGTCATATGTTTACAATATTTTTTGTTCGATTGTAGAATTTTGATAGACGGAGATGACCCCCAAAAAAGAACAAATCACCGCCTCGTCCCTCAAAAAGAAATACTAAATAAAGTAAAAACTAAATTAAAAAATTTTAGCTTTGTTTAGCTTTGTCGTTATTTGTGACGCTCCAACGTTCACACACACCTGTGTTTACCTGTCCTCCTCCGATGCTAACAGCTTCCCCGGAGTGCTGCAGTTTATTCCTCTGAGACGCACGTGACCGTTCTTCCCGACGCGCATCCACGTGCGATTGTTTTCATTCCGACGATGCTGCGGCAACCGCGGCTGCTCTCTGACGTCACCGAGCTGGCAGTCAGGAGGCGGCTCGACAGTTTGAACCGCGAACGGAGAGAGAGTGTGTGTGAGAGAGAGAGAGAGCGAGAGAAAGAGTGTGTGTGTGTATGTGTGTAGACACGGGTTTGTCCGGTTACGGCACGCAGGCGAGTGTTTTACAGTCACTGTGTTCAGATTCGGAGAGGGAATTAAGGAAAATACCGACGAAGAAGAGGAGGGGGGAAAAGAGAAGAAGAAGGTCGCGGCCGTTGGCGCTCAGTGAAACTTTAAGATGGAAAATTCATCCAGCAACAGCCGGTTTCGGTCCGCAATGTTCAACCACGGTGAGTCCTCACATCCGACACTGAATGCGGAGATGCTCGTCTACTTTCTGAATAGGACCTACCTAAGAATAAATAAATAAATAATCACATGTCCTTCCTTTTAAACTGTATTATTGTTATAATTTAATCAATTAAACACACAAATCGTCTCAATCTTCATCATCTCAGGTCTGTTTGGCTACAGCTCCGGGTTGTAAGCCGGTGATATAAGTGCAGGTTTTATTTTTATGGGTCTACTCAGACAGACAGACAGGACAGGAGTGAGGGTACACTTCGTCCCGCTGAATGAAAAATCCTTGGAAAGCCTGGCAGCAGCCTGAGCTCCACACGGGACGACAGCACTGTAATTCTGCAGCTAAAGACTCACCACACCGAACTATTTCTGGACTACGCAGATCTGCAGTCAGCTCCATAAATATTTGGACAGTGACATTGTGTTTTTTGCTTTTTTTGTTTTTTTTTTAATTTTCTCTGTAATCTGCTGTGTTTAGCATCAAAGGATTGAAACGAGCCTTTACGAGGTGATTAAAATGGAGACATTTGGCTTTAATTCAAGAGGTTAACTCTGGAAGGGGGGGCTATAGACATCAAGTGCAGAGTTTCCTCCCCATCCAGCTGCCTTCACTTGGCTGGTAATTAGTGTAGCTATGTGACCTGAAAGGGTTAATGCAGATAAGGACCACAGCTTCATCGTGTCATTATAAAACCAGTGTGGTGAAGTACAGAGGCAAAATGAATGTATTGGGGAGATGGAGAGCTTGGAGTGTATATTACACCATCACCATAAAACAAGAAGTTCTGGTTCAGTTTGTTGCCTCAGATCGCTTTTCACTGACACCTTTATGTTTTTCTTTCTCCTTTGGATGTTGTTGAACGGCATTCGACAGCCCAAAACCAAACATTGGGCTCCACTGTTACGTTTTTCTAAGCCAAGATATTTGTAAAGTTTTTGTCTTTTTCAGTGGTATTTTAGAAATTTGTGGACACATTGTGTTCTCTTGACATCAAATAGATTTGGTTCCCTGTTGTAAACAGTTTGAATCTCACCTGTATCTTATCGTGTCGGTGTGGGTACAGAGAGTAGTTTATTGGGCGCAGTGATCTTGTGATGTGAAGTACCAGAGGCTGCAGTTGAGCTGAAACATTCCCCTCATTGAAACAGCTGCCCTGTGGTGTACTGTATGCACAGAAGGGTTGTGTAATGGATACAAACATGGCGAAAAGAAAGTGGGAGGTGATGAGTGCTCTTGTGCTGAGCGTTCATATGATATTCTTTTCGTGTGTTGCTCATGTCATATGTTGCACCCAGATGATTAGAAATATGCAGTGAACCTTTGTCAGCTCTGTGCACAGTGTCTCTGCTCTAAGTAGTAGTAAGGTTATACTACTATGCTGATTTAAGCAATAAAACAGCCCTTTAATACACAATAAGACCCAAATTTCTGTTGCAGGAAATGAGACTGTCCAGAGACAGATCTTCCGCATCCCTGTTAAATAATTTTTGTGGAGTCCTTAGATTTCACAGCATAGTAGTAAGTTCAAATGTTAGTGTTTCCATGTCCTGCTGCTTGCTCACAAGTGTTTCAGTGTTATCTAAATTTCTTAGGTGTCATTTCTTTTCAGAACTGCTGGCATGTAATAAAATAGAACAATTAGTTTACTGTAAACATATGTAACTGGGTTTAATTAACAAATATACCAGATGTACTGTATGTGCTAAATACACTTTTTCACTCTGTTTGAAAGAAGGATAAATATTTTGGAAAGAAGGATAAATATTTTGGGAAGAAGTCAGAGTGATGTGGGACTAAAATTATCCAAAGTGAACCCAGAGCTGTTTCTATTTGATTTGTATCTAGAAAAGTATAACCATAATAAAATGCCCAAGCTTTAATAGAGCTCAGTCTGTTAAATGCCAAAGATATATTACTCCTAAACCAAATGTTACACAATAGATAAGACAGGATGCATACTAGAAGACAAATAAGGTTTGAAGGCAATTTTAAACTCTTTTAAACATTTGGATCCCTCAGAGTTAATCATGCAGTGTTTGGTTTGTTATACATCGTATTCGGCCAAACCCCTTAATCTTTGAATTCCAGTGTTTCATTTAGTCCCATTGCTACTGGTGTATAAAATCCAGCACTTAGCTCCTCCCTCCTAAATATTCCACAGTTCGCTGTAAGTGGTATTATTACAAGGTGGAAGCATTTAGGAAGCACTGCATCTCCACCTGGCCTCAGCAACTGCAGAGCTCCCAGCCTCCTTTGGCATTATCATCAGCATGAAAACTTTGTGCTGGGAGCTTCTTAGCATGGGTTTCCATGGCTGACAGTGGGTGTTTGGGACAGGTGGCGCAGTGTTCCTCAGAGAAAGCCTTGTCCTCCTGCTTTGGCTGTGCTGACAGCCTCGCTGGTGGAGGATCTCAGCATGTAGGTCAAGAGAGAGAAAATTAGGAAGTGAACCAAATAGCTTTTACACTACTGTAGTACTGTGAGTCCATAATTAGATGTTTTCATTCCAAAATTTGCAGATATTTTTGGAGAGCTGTGAGTGTGATTGTTAAAGTTATCCATTTGTTGTTAACTGTGCCATCATGTCACAGTCATTTGGTGCTTCTGGAATCAACACATGCTGCTCAGTTTGGTTTTAAAGAGCAGCAGCAGTAATATGCAGCTCATACATTATATATTGTCCATATGTAGGACTGACTAAACCACCTCCTGTAACATTGCTGCTCTTCCTGAAGTGGTTGTAAATGGTGGCAGAGGCTATAATGAGGCACAGCTCCCTGACCTGTGCCTCAGTCTGCTCTGCACGCTAAGGCAGAGATGGTCCTGAGTTTAAAGCAGTGAATCAATATTTGTTATCCTGCCAGGAAGCCTTCCAGGATGGGCAGCTTGGAGTAAAGAAATTTGTTTTGCCTCTTAAGACTTGAAGGAATCGGTAAATGGCAAACCTCATGAATAATTTGGATCGTCGCCTGCTCATGACTAATTACTGGAGTGGCCAAATGTTTGAAAAGTGCTAGACTTTGAGATTGGTGCCAGTTTGATGCTATTTTTATCTGAACCTTTCACCAGTACAAGACTTCTGTATGGAAGTTGGTTTTCAAATGTTATTTTCCTTGCTTTCTGTCAAACTAAATTCCTGGCTAGCACACTCCAACTCTGTAAACCCACCAGGACCCTCTGCCCCAAATTATTTACATAACACAAATGTGCAGACACTGATGACTAAATTCCATCCTTTAAGCATGCGGGCTTGCAGCATCCTCACTTGAGCTTTACCACAAGCCACATGCTGATGTTGCTTTTCAAACACCCATCCATCCATCATCCATCCATCTAAGTTCAAAGTTGGAGAGGTAGGGTACAACCTGCACAGGCTTAAACACCCAACAGGATCAAAATCTTATTCATTATCCCTTGTGTGTATTTCAGTAAAAGTTGACCCATGTCACTGAAACCTTTTTAGATATCTTGGCACCAGAAAGAAAGAAAGAGACAAAGATGTGTTTTTGTTGTTGTGGTTAAATTGTGGGATTATGATTGAATCTAAAAATGTGTCAATTATTTTTGATCTTCAAAAGAATGCTCTACAAATATATATTGGCGTTTCATGTATTTTTGCTTACTTGTTTCTTATTTTATTTATTTATTTATTGTCGTTGAGAGTGTTGTGTTTAAAATTGTTCGAATTACTTGATTGAGTATTGAGACACCATCCAGCAGACTGTTTTGGAGCATTTTGTGTTTTCTGGTAATACTTCTTAGATAATCAGCATTTTCTTTGCATTTAAATGTTCTCCTAAGTTTCAGGGTTGCTCATGACTTGTCTGTATGACTAAACATTTTGGTATTTATGTGTTTCTTCTCCTCCCCTATGTGTCCGACCTGTGTTGGATGTCATCCTCCTCCGACCAGATGATGAGGTAAGAAATCCTTTTTTGCTTAAATCCTACAACCACAGACAAAGTAGGGCGCTGATGAGGCTAGGCTTGACCTTGATTATCTCACCAAAATGAGGACATTGTGGTTTGTGGATGTCAGGGCATTTTATCCCTGCTAGCCGGAGTTGTTGTTCAGTTTCAGATCAGAAGTCACTTTTCTTTTCACAAATTGCTCTCCCTCATCTTGTGTTTGTTTTTGTTTTTTTTGCTGTGAATACTTTGAGTGTGAAATGGTCTGGGCTTTTCACCTGGCTTCATGTGAATGGGTGTGTTCACAGAGCCCAGATTTTCTTGTTCCACATGTTCTGCAGAGTGACAGCTGAGAATCTGCTACGTGTTCCAGCTTTCTTTTTTTTTTTTCTTTTGTCTGTTGGAGGATGAAAGGGCGACTGTAGACACTCAAATATGTAAAGTGAAACTTGGAGTCAGCAGCTCTCCTGAACCTGTGCTGCAGTTTGAGTGACTGCAGTCAAGTGTGATCAGCTTTCCAGCAACCAGATGACGGTCACCTTAGTGTCAAAACCCACCAATGCTTTTGCTTTACTCTTTTGATGTCACTGTCCAAAACCCCACAGCTGTGTTTGGCCCCACTGACTGGGGATGAAAGAGGAGGAGGACGGGGTGTTTGTTTTCCAGCCCGTGCAGTTCACAGACGGGTGGAGAGGGGTTGGATTTGCGTGGGTGTGACAAACCCCGGTTCCTTTCTCAGCTGCATTCCTGGCCTGTGTGACAGAGCTGCAGGGTGTGTTGACAGAGGGAACAACACCTAGGGAGGAAACTTGTAGCATCTGTCCAAGGCCGAGAAGTGGCGGCTGCTGCTGCTGTAGCTCTTGGCTGGATGACAGCATTCGCTCGTTACTCTCCTGACGGTTTGGCACATCTTTCGTTGGGTATGTGATTAAATAAGCAGATGTCCGAGTCTGCATAATCTTAATTCTCGCTCTTCAAACCACACCCATTGTTGCTATTCTCATTAAACACAGTCTACTGTATCTACACATCTGAAAGCCATCATTAGGTCCAGATTGACATAAATAAAGCACCCTTCCCCTGCACCCACACCCAGTGGCTGTAAAACCACACAGGACTGTGGGGTGTGGTGGTTCAAGAGGGTGGCTGTGGCTTCCTTTTGTTACCCTAAAAATGTCACATGCACGCACACAGACACAGAGACGTCAGATGGGCAGTACCAGTTGTGGAAAGCATGTAGAAAAGGACGGTTGCTTCTCTTGAGAGAACTTCTCCACACACACATCAGCATGGTGCATTCCTCTGTGGCTTTTACTCAACTAGCCATTAGCTTTCTGAGGCTTCAGCTGCTGCTTGCCACTGCAGCCAACATGCAGGCGCTCTATAGTTGGAGTTTATTAGCCCATTAGCTCGCTAGCGACTGCAGCGGATGCCGGTTTCCCTCTCTCCTCTGATTCTCCTTTGGCTGCGTCTGTTTTTCTCATCTGCTGTTGCTGCAGCTGTGCACGCTCTCTTTGGGTTAACTTAGAAACTGGAAATGCAGAATGTCTAGTTTATGCTGCACCACGCCTGTTTGTCAATTAACAGCCATTTCTTTGTTAAAGACATACTTGCACTACTTGTTGTCATTGTGAAGTAAAAATAGCAAGCAATTAAGCTCAGGGAATGTTGAATGATTACATTCTGTTTGTCTTGTTTTTCCAGTAGGGTGTTAAATAAGGACAAATTAAAATTGAATCAAGCCTTACCATTACTTAAATGTCTTAAAAACTTCTCTCTCTTTAGCAAGCAAAACTTTAACATAGAAAGTTCCATAGCTGTCTTCTTACTATAATGATCATAGCATATTTACGTATATACAGTGGGGCAAAAAAGTATTTAGTCAGCCACCGATTG